GCCCTCCAGCTGCGCCACGGAGGCGGAGTCGGAGCGGGAGGCGGCCCCGAGATGGAGAGGCTGGCGCGCCCGCCCCCCAACCAGCTGCAGAAAAGCTTCCACCTGCTCCCCCGGGCGATCCCACGCTGAGGAGCAGAACCGGCACCCTGGCCGCTCACCGCCCCCACCCTCTGGCCTGGGCTGCTCTGATTTGAGGGTGAGTCTGGGGTCTCCAACTAGCCGGGCCCCGCACCCCTCCCGCAGGGCAGCCCAGGGCTCACTTTGCTCTATGCTTTCAGGACTTGGTGCCGGTGGGCCCATACCTACCGGGTGGTCGCTGCACAGCCCCGCCTAGGGCAGGAGATCACAACACCCGGACCACAGCTGGAGGAGCGATCCAAGCCTCTCAGGTGACTGGCCCCGGACCAGGAGGAGAGACAAGGGAGTGGGTCCAGAGGCCCAGGCCCACGGTGCCCCCAGCCCCGCGGCCTCCTCGCTCAGTCTCTGCTGGGGAGAGGCAGCCAGGCCTGCGGAATGCTGCTCTGGCATGGACACCAGTGGGGGCAGGGGGCTGGCTGTGCTGGCAGGAAGCGACAGAGGAACGCTGCCAGGCCGAGCAGGCAGCAGAGTGAGGACCACAGGGCTCTGGGCTTGGCAGGGCCACCATTGTGGAGAGGGGGCCTCTGTGGGTCTCTCATGTGGCCACGTCATCATTCAGATGCACCACCCCCACCGCACCCCAAGTTGACTGCAGCCCCACATTTGGTCACCCTCCCAGTGCCCCCTCCTGACAGTCCCACTCAATCCCCCTGCCCCTCCCCACACACATGCACCTGTGCTTACACACCATCCCATGCCCAGCTGCAGCAGTATCCCCGAGTATGCCATCTTACTCATGGGTGGGCAGGGACTCTAGGGCCTGACTTGGTTCTGAATGCCAGGGGAAAATGGAACAGAGGCCAGATCCCAGGCAGACACCATCCTGTAGTCCGATGGTTGGTCCTTCAAGATTGTATGGGCCTCCCCTAAGACCAAAATGGGGAGGTCCTTGAGTAGGGCATCTCAAAGCCAGAGAGAAAGCACCTCAGGGGCAAAGATGGGGTGACCAAAAAGTGCCAAGAGAAAGGGGAGGAATGCACACAGCCGGATGGAGGGGTGGGAGAGACCTTGGTGGAAAAAGAGATGGGAAGAGAGGAAGGGGCATGGATGGGGACACGCCTCCAGAGGCAGCCACTGCAGACATTTTGCACTTCTGTAGCCCTGGTAGGTGCATAACAACTGGCTTAGCTCCCAGAGAGGTCTTGGGCGAAGGCCAGGCCACAGCAGCTTACATGCCACACCAGCCCACCACCACAGGGCTGCCTCTGCCTCTCCATCCCCGCCCACTTCTCATCTGACTCAGTGGATCCTGGCACCATCCTGGGAGGTGGCAAGGAATCCTGTAGCCTTTGGTTAGATAAGGACAGCCAGGCCCCAGCATCAGGAGCCGGGAAAGGAGGCCGGGCAAGGTGGCCTCCCCCACGGCTGGGAGGAGCCTGGCAGAGAGGACTTCAGGGACACTCCTGGGCCCACTTCCCAGTCATGGCTTGGCAGGCCAGCATGACCAAGGTAGGGCTGCTGGCCCCCTTGGGATTGGCCTATGTTGCAGCAGTCAAGCCAAAGGAGGGGCTAGAGGTGGGAGGAGGAGGGGGGTGAAGGGGGGGATGTCGGTCTCCACGAAGACCCTAGCAGTTCCCCTTGCTGCTTTGGCCTCCAGCCTATCTGGGGGAGCCCCAGGCAGAGCCTGAGCTCTATGAGAGGCTGTTGGCACTTGGGTCACAAGAGAACTGGAAGGAAGGGGCTGTTTGAGGAGCTTAGCCCGGGCTCCAGTGGAGCTGCTCAGAGCTGAGGCCAGCACGCTGAGGGAGTGCACATCAGCTGGAGCAGAGGGAGGGGAAGGGCGCTCCAGGCAGAGGGAGCATCTGCAAGGGCCAGGAGACAGGCTGTTTGATGCCATGGAGTCCAAATTCTTGTCTGGTGGGAGCACCCAGCCAGATGGAGACAGCAGCGTTGCCCTCTGCGCCTTGGCAAGGGCCATGCCATGGGAGCTTCACTCCAGGCTTGGTCAAGGCAGGCTTTCTGGAGAGGGTCGGAGGGACTGGGTTAGTGGGGAGGGGATCCTGGGCCAGGATGGCATGCCCCAGCGGGAAGCCAGGAGCTGGTGGGGATGAGGGCAGAGCTTGAGGAGCCTGAGGCACTTGAGGCTGGGTGCTGGCGAGGTCAGTAGCTGTGCCCCTGCCTCTTGAGATCAGCTCACAGGTTTTTTTACAACTTCCCTTAGCATCCAGCCCCAAGCTTCTCTCTCATGTTAGGGAGGAAGAACAGACCCAAACAAGCAGCCCCCAGGCTCAGAGATGCCAGACTCACCCCTATCTAACTAAACCTGGGAAGACCAGGATGGTGTGTGTGTGTGTGTGTGTGTGTGTGTGTGTGTGTGTGCAGGCTCAGCTTCTCTGGGACCATGGAGTTGTGAAGCTGCTGTAGCTGAGATGGGGAGGAGGGAGAGCAGAGTGGCTATTTGGGCTGGCACTTCAGTCCCAGGTCATCCAGGGCCTCCTGCAACTAAACTCTATCACCAGGCCAGATTCCCTAAGCAAAGGTCTCACTGGCCTCAATGCCTCTGGCTGAATTTGCTTTTATTTTGAAGATATAAAGGACCCCTCTGAGCAACCATTCTGTGGCACAGTCCTTAAGGGTTCTGGCCCAGAGCCAGACTGCCTGGGTTCAAGTTCTGTCTCTTCCTAAAGTTGGGTAACTAGATCAATTGCTTGGCTTTTACAATTCAGCTCCTCCCTCCGAAGAACTGGGATATTAAGGCCTCCTCCCTCCTGGAACTGGTGAGGATTAAATGCTTCGAACCAAGCACACAGCCACGTAGTTCAGGGAAGCTGGCCCATGGGCTTGCCTCCAGGAGGGTAGGAGGTCCACAGGTTCACGTGGAGGGCCAGGCTCAATCATTAATGAGAGGCCTGGGGTCCCTTGACCCATCAGGGTGGGAGAGGATCCTGGATGCAGCTAGGGAGGCCTGGAATGCCAAGGCCATGACGTCTGTGCTGCTGAGGGAATGCAACCTGCTGGTTTGAATTAGGTCCCCACCCTCCAGCAGATGTATCCTATTAATGCCAAACTCAGTGGAGGCAGAACATAAGCCACATCCCTCCAATCCCACACCCAGAGATCTATGCACCCCCATCCTGCAGGGCCCTGGGTCAGCTGGGACTTCCCTGCCACCCCACCACCCCACTGGAAGCTATTGGATTTGATTCACACGGAGACAGGGACCAGGGAGCGTTGCCTCTTTCTACTGAAACCTTTGAAAACAGACCACCCCAGCCTCCTGCCCCTTTGCGCAGCTGCTTGCCTCCTCTGTCCTGGGGCAAGCAGGTTCTGTCACTCAGGGCACCCGGCTCCTGCGCAGCAGCCTCTACAGCAGCGGTTCTCAACCTGTGGGTCGCGACCCCTTTGGGGGTCGAATGACCCTTTCACAGAGGTCACCTAAGACCATTGGAAAACACATATATAATTACATATTGTTTTTGTGATTAATCACTATGCTTTAATTATGTTCAATTTGTAACAATGAAAATACATCCTGCATAACAGTAGCAAAATTACAGTTATGAAGTAGCAACGAAAATAATTTTATGGTTGGGGGTCACCACAACATGAGGAACTGTATTAAAGGGTCGCGGCATCAGGAAGGTTGAGAACCACTGCTCTGCAGCATCAAAGAACTCCCTCCCCAGCTCCTTCCATCACAAGTTCCTCAGGGGACTCCGGCTCTGCCTTCACTACAGGCAGCAGCAGCAGAGTAGATGCCCTCTCCCAGGCCCCTCACCTGGTTGCAGAGACTAACGCACAGGCTTCTCACTCCACACCGACTGGAGCCTCCTTTCCCTTCCACAGTGACGTCTGGCCATTGTTCATGGTCGCCTGAGAGGGGCATTTCCTTGGATTATCTTACCTCCTGTTCAAAGCCCAGCTGATTCAGAACAGTCAAGACCAAAGCCCTTGACATTTCCCCCAAGACTGCCCAGCTGATGAAGGTGGTCACTATCAGAAGGGGGATGAAGACACCAGGCTCAGTAGCAAATGAGACCCCGCAGGAGCCTCACTTGGGGATTTTCCACAGCGACTTGCACATTTTCTTTACATTCTAAAGCAACACATCCAGGCTGGACTATTGTCAGGAACTGCCTGACTTGGGGGTCCTCCTTTTACTGAATTTTGAAAATGGAATCTACAAGCCTTACCGTGAGGTTATGTTGTATTCACTAAGCAAATACAAATTCCGGAGTGCCGAGGAGGCAAAAGTTAATTGTACTTGCCCTGCGAATCCCCCCGTGGCTGCTATAAATACCCCGTGTTTCCTCCAGGAGAGCGTGCCATGTGCCTGCTGGTGAACCACAGGAGGAGGGAGGTGTGGAGGCTGGATAGGTGGGTTAGCAGCACCGTGCAGATGGAACGGTCACATTCCTTCCTCAGCAAAGACATCTGCATGCAGGTCACAGCTGGGTGACAGCAGCACAGCCCGGAGGAGCTCGGAGTCAGCAGGGAAGGGGACGTCTCTGCCTGAAGCTCTCGGGCTGCGCCTCCTGCCCCATCACTAATGCTCAGCTACAAGATGAAGGCGCCTCGGAGCTGGGTCAGCAAAGACGCGAGCTTTCCTGTTCCACTTCAGAAAGACTAGCTGAAGTGTGGGGGGTAAAGAAAGATGAAACAGACTCCGCCTTAGACTAAGTATATATTTTAATTTCTACAAGGTCCCCCTTTCAAGTCTTGGGGAATTTAAACGAAGTGTATACAAATTACACATTGCTGATATGTACAAAAGTATTTTCTAGTTTTTAAACAATACCAGCCATATCATGTTTCATTTGCAGTAAACAGGACATTACAAAAACAGTCCAACAATGCATTTTCTATTAAGCACAATACACAACATAATTCAATTTTATTTATAAAATAACTTAAAATACAGAATAATCCCCTTAGGAAGAAAAACTGTCTCTGTAGTTCATTCAGTAAACACACAAGCTGAAGGCTGCAGCCGAGGGCTGTTCTTTTCAATGGAGAAAACTAATGAGGCTTCCAGGGCCCACCTTTTCAGGATAAAACTCCACCCGCAGCCCCAGTGGGTGAAGTTACTGCCTGTGGTAGGCAGAATTCTACAGTGCCCCCTCCACCCCCATATCCATGCCCCAATCCAGGACCCTGTGAATAGGGGACCGCTCCTGTGATGATATGTTCTATGACCTTAAAATAGGGAGACTAGCTCGGTGGGCTGGATCTAGTCACATGAACCTTAAATCAGAGGAGGAAGGCGGAGAGATCTGAAGCAGGAGGGCTCGATGGCCAC